CCTCGGGCTTCAGCCTCGAGATGGCAGGGCGGTGCCATACCTCTCTCAGGTAGTGCGTCATGAACCCGTCGATGACTCCATCCTGCTCCAGTCCTATGATGAGGTTCACCACGCTGGTAAACCCGAAAACCGCGTACACTACGGCAGAGAGCAGCGGGTTACCCAGAGCGGCTCGGGGGACAGTGGCCACGGGCTGGCATTCGACAGCAGCAGTGGACTGTTGTAATGCTCTCCAGACAACCCTGCGGACGCCGTCGACAGGGACGGACAGAACACCCCCCCACCCCCCACACTCGGCGGGACCTTTTCCTGAGCCGTGGATCTGACATCACCGCCCACCTGTGCCCACCGAGGGGACATCTGCTGAGGGGTAAGAATGACAAACTCACCCACTGGCTCTGCCCCACCCTCCACTCCCCACACCTGCCCCCACCTGGGCAAAGCCTGTAACCCAGCAGCCAAAAGGTAACGATAACCGCCAGGTTTAAACTAATGACTCGGAAGAGATGATTCATCTGGGTGGTCACCAGGCAGCCCAACCCCCACCAAGCTGCAGACCCACCACGAGCAAGGAAAATAAACCCTTATAGCTACGGCAAGGAGACAACCTAAATGTCCATCAACAGGAATGAACCCTGTGTGTGCTTATATTATATACTGTATAAAACATATTCTTTAGCCATAAAAAAAAGAGGAAATCCTGCCATTTGCAACAACATGTGGCTGGGATCCTGGCAGAAGGACGCCCCTCCGCTCCTCACGCCTTGTCCCAGTGCACTCTGACCTCCAGCTGGGAGACAGTGGGACCCGCAGCCCGGGGCAGGCCCTAGCTCGGAGGAGAGGGCCGTGTCATCCTGAAATACTCCTCCAGTTCCTGCCACTGTACCCTCGGGCTTGGCGTATCCACAGCCACGGAGGAAATGGGGTGGAGGCCACCCTGCTGAGCTAATCGGTGGACACGGTGGTTTCCCCGGCCGCGGGGACAGACGTACCGTAGAACAGCGGGTCCCGGGGTGGTTTTCTTTTGACGAGTAATCGCGCCAACAGGGCTACCAGCAGCAGGATGAGGGCAGCAACCCCTACAATTGTCCAGAAGCTGCAAGGGCCAGAACAGGGAGGTGGTCACTTATCAAAATAAACACATTGGGGCCAGAACTTCCTGGCCGATGAATGCGGTGGCTCCCAGCTCTGCCTCTGTCTGCGGCTTGAGCCCTGTGCAGGGGACCATGTCTGTTTACAGCACTGTGGCCCCTTGGGGCCTCCCCCTGTGACTTTTGGGGACCGGAGCCACCAGGTCCTCGCTCTCCTGTCAGCCGGCCCCCCTGCCCAGGTGATGCGCCTGAGCGGCTGCCACCTCTGCTCCTCCAACCCTCGCTTCCCAGTGGCTGGCAGGCCACCTCCCTTGGTGCTCCAGGAGGCAAGCCAGAGTCACTGTCACACACACCTTCCAGGGGCACGAGGAAGGAGAGTCACATAATCAAAGGTACCAGAGGGCCCTGCCGGCATGGCTCAGTGGTTGAGCGTTGGCCTAGGATCCAGGAGATTGCGGTTCGATTCCCGGTCGGGGCACATGCCCGGGGTGCAAGCTCCTCGATCCCCAGCAGGGGGCAAGCAGGAGGCAGCCCATCAATGACTGTCATCATTGATGTTTCTCTCTCTCNGATTCCCGGTCGGGGCACATGCCTGGGGTGCAAGCTCCTCGATCCCCAGCAGGGGGCGAGCAGGAGGCAGCCCATCAATGACTGTCATCATTGATGTTTCTCTCTCTCTCCCTCTCCCTTCCTC